AGGGTCATGTATATTAGGGGGGGGAAGGGGTCATGTATACGTGTCCAGTGACAGGTATACCTGTGAGGCCCAGTATATGAATTGTATATAAGATATGTCAGGCAGCTCATTTCTACTTACACGGCCATACATAGGGTGGCGTCCAGGGTCCCCGGGTCCGCTCTGCGATCCGATCTGACACTTCAACAAACTGAAAGTGTATGTGACCAACAATCCTGTACTTCCGCCTCCCACACTACCTCCCCTGATACCACCTCCGACCGCTAGAGGTCGAACCTCCCCCTGGCTGGAGAAATGTCCGCACGGGACTCCGACAAGATGGCGGCCGCCTCACACTTCCATATATGGATTAGCAGCTACTCTGAGCAATGTTTACTTGCGATGAGACGCCCAGAGAGGCCAAACATGGTTCCTGTGAGATATGGAAACGTTCTGTCAGTGTGTTCAGTGGACGTTTGACAGATTTGTTGCACTCACCCTGTTTACTTTAACCAGTTGACATCCGCGGTGTTAAACCCCCTTCCCATCCAGGCCATTTTTCAGTATTCAGCGCTGCGGTACTTTGACAATTTTTATTCACATCATTTCTGAGGCAGACAATAATTATAGACCTTTAGCTGCTTAAAAATGCACACAGGTCCAAAACCCAACTAAAGTCTTAAAGAGACCCTGTCAGCGCTTTAAAAAAATTGCATGTAAAGGTACAGAAAAACAAACAAACAATGATTTTAACTTGCTTTCCCTTTCTATAAATTTGTTTTTATTCACATGCAATGTGCCTTTGAACTTGGTGGAAAATGTGACTGCTCCAGGAATTGTCAATTCCCTGGCACAGCCTCCTCCTTTCCTTGCACTCCATAGCCCTCGCCTCTACTGGGAATATCTAATTGCTGTCTGTGCTGGCCCAGTTCCTCCGCCCTGCCCTTCAACTTTTTTACATAACCTTTTATGTAGCTGCCAAGATGGAATGAAGGATGAACAATGTTTGTGTTTGTAGAGTGCTGGATCTGACTCTTGGGGAAAAAAATTGATTGTTATTCCAGGCAGCTCCCTGTCACCTGAAGGGGTTCTCATTGGTCCCCAAGGTGGAAATTGCAATGAAGGAGAAAGAGGAAGCTTCACAGTAATAGTATCTCCTAGCAAACAAGGATGCTAGGCAGTAGGATCCTCCTGCATCCTAGAAACCTAGAATGCTAGGCAGTAGGAGCCAACTGGGCTCCTAGAAACCAAGGATGCTAGGCAATAGGAACCTCCTGCATCCTGGCAACCTAGAATGCTAGGCAGTAGGAGCCAATTGGGGTTCTAGCAACCAAGAATACTAGGCAGTAGGAACCTCATGCATCCTAGCAACCTAGAATGCTAGGCAGTAGGAGCCAGCTGGTCTCCTAGCAACCAAGGATGATAGGCAGTAGGAAACTCCTGCATCCTAGCAACCTAGAATGCTAGGCAGTAGGAGCCAACTGGGGTTCTACCAACCAAGGATGCTAGGCAGTAGGAACCTCCTGCATTCTAGCTACCTAGAATGCTAGGCAGTAGGAGCCAATTGGGGTTCTATCAACCAAGAATGCTAGGTAGTAGGAGCCAGCTGGTCTCCTAGCAACCAAGGATGCTAGGCAGTGGGAACCTCATACATTCTAGTAACCTAGGGTCGCTAGGCAGAAGGGTCACTAGCATTCTAGAAACCAAGGACGTTAGGCGGGAGGAGCCACCTGCATCCTAGAAACCAAGAAGGGGCCTATCAATAGTGTATAATCAGCAGCAAAGGCACCACTGTCTTCACATTGTTGATATTGTCAGCCGTCGGCCAGTAGGGCCCATGTACGCTGTCCCGCTGGAAGCATGTAAATGCTTCACAGACATTAGATATGTACAGTCTATAGTCAGCTAACAACGTAGGATCTTTCTATGAGCTTTTTTCTAGCAAGATCCTGCTTTTCCCATTTTTAAATATCTACACCCGTCTGAATGAGCCCTAATACTATCTTAGAGAGGATACTGGAACCCCTGTAAACAAAGGAGGGTGTTGTAGTAACCACAGATGGTGCCGTGTATCCTCAGCTATATAGTAAATGTAAGGTGTGCTGGTAATATTTACTATATATCTAAAGCCTAATACTGGCGCTTCGTTGACTTTTTCTGCAGTAAACTCTGTGATATTACATCCATTCTAGACATGAAGAGTCCCACGTGCCGTGTTTACTTGAGTCACTGTGGTGCTCTTCGGCCCTATGGCTGCAAAGAAGATGAGCAGGTTTGTGCTTGGGAATTACCCAGTCTCTATTTATCCTGACTCATGAAACTTTGACAGGCCAAGTTATTTTCAGCTAGGTAATTCCTGCTTCTGTTTAGTGCAATGCCTAGTTTTATCTTTCACTTAATACGCTAAAAGGTCAAACACAACCGTCGACACAGATTGCATCAAACTGGAAAGCAAATTGTTTTGTGTACAGCAGGGAAATCAACCGGCTCCTTCCTTTTCCTTTACAAATGCTGTAAACTAGACAGTGATGGATTTATCAAGGGTAGAGAGATATTGACAATGATTAGTATATTGGTTTGTGGTCTATGGCACCGCCCTTCTGTGTCAATTTGCATTTTACCGTACTCACTATTCACTAGAGTTTTGATTACAGTTTATACGTTGGTGAACTAGAAAAATACTGCCTGTGCTGCTGAGCAAGAGCAAAAAAGGACAATGTGGCTCATTGAGGACTTACAATTGGGGTCCAGGATATTTTTTTTTTTTTTTCAGAAATAAGTTTTTATTGAATTTTTTACAAAGACAAAAGAACATGGATACAATAACAGAAACAAAAAGACGTACATACAGCACAGAAACCGCGGTCTCATTAATCAGATACATAGCACGTCCGGGCCTTAGAGCATAGAAGGCACTCATGGTGTAGGCAATTATGAAATCCCTGAGCTAGACACAATATAAAGATCGCCACCATGTTAGGTTATGATCAACGCCTCGCTGTCGGGGGCGAATCATATCAGAGGAGCAGGCAACCGGTGGACCCATGGTCATCCTCCGAGAGGACGATTCCCAACTCCTAGGATATTTTTTTAAAATATGCTGACATGCAGCATATTTATTGCAGCTTTTGCCGCAATACTCACCTTCAATGCGGAGCTGTTCCCTGCAATATTTCTTCTCCACCACTAGATGCCCTCAGTCTTCACGGATGAATGACAGCCGGTGTCTTTCAACACATTTCCTTTGAGCCCAGGCTGTCATGGACCTGCCCCTGGAGCAGGCTCCTGCATGACTCCTGCACCATGGCGATCACATAGACCAGCGTTTCTCAACTGTTTTTCAGTCATTGCACCTTTTAGAAGCATGTCAAATCTCAAGGCGCCCCAGTCTAAAATGTAAAATAACATAAATGTAAAAAACAATGTGCAGTTTGCCCCTGCCCCCAAGAAATCAGTACCAAAACCCTTATCCTAGACAGGGGTCTGGTGTGGATGTTAAGGTGGGATCCCAGGCAAAAAAAAACAATAAAAGAAAGACCACATGGAATTCCCTCTTTCACATAGTAAGCCCCCCTTCACTTTAGCCCCCATTCACACCATGGCGTAGCGGGAACAGCGTTCGTGGGCGTTTGTTTCCCACGTTTGGCGCACATCCCCGTTGATTTCATTGGCTTCCTGGATGTGCGGCAAACATAAGAAAGTAGTAAATTCTGCGACGTGTTCCGTGAGATGCGTTCCGCTGGAAAAAAGTGTGTTTGCTTGGCCTTGTTTGGGTGCCATTAACTAGTAACGGCACTGCGTGTTCCGCGTTTGGTTAGCATTTCATGAACACCCGCATTCACGATACGCTATTGTGTGAATGCTGACTTAGAGTCCACCCGTTCACATGAAAAGTCCCCTTTCTATCAGAGTCCCCCCAAATGTCCCATCCCCCCCTTCAAATCAGAGTCCCTCCTCCACATCAGAGTCCCTCCTCCACATCAGAGTCCCTCCTCCACATCAGAGTCCCTCCTTCACATCAGAAGCCCTCCTTTACATCAGAGTTCCCCCCTTCACATCAGGATATCTCCCTTCACGCCAGGACCCTCCCCCCTTCACATCAGAGTCCTTCTTCACATCAGAGTCCCTCCTTCACATCAAAAGCCCCACTTTCATATCAGAGTCCTCCCTTTCACTTTAGGAGCCCCTTTTACTTCAGAATCTTACAGAGCCCCCCCTTTAGCAAAATCTGAAGGCACCCCTGACAAAGCCAAAAGACACCCTGGTTGAAAAAGGCTGACATATACCAAAGTGCTCTCACTGCCACCTACAGACAGACAAGCACAACTGTAAGAGTGACAACTAACAGTGTAACAATGTAACAAAAGTGAGATACATTCACATAATGTAATATGCTTTGTTTGTGAAACATCATAAGAAGAACCGGAGGACTTCTACAGGACGTAACGTTGGCATGTACGTGCTCAGTCTAGTGGTAGAGACACAAGCATGACAGCGCACAATTCAAATATTTTCGGAGTTTGTAAATGACTGTAACCGGCTTGTAAAAATAAATGTGAATTGAATGCTTCCCGAAAATGACAGCACACTCTGCTATATTTTTGCTTTTTTTCATGCATGTTAAAGAGGAAGACTCTATGATGATAAAAATGAAATCCGTGTCATCATCCTTCCTGAGAAGAAATTAAAGTGACATTAAACCCTCAGATTTTTTAACATAAAACAATACTGTAATGTGCTCCTTACTGTAATCCATGGTAGTTTCCCTTCTCTTTGCTGCTCTTCCTTTTAAATCCGTATCTCTTCTCATGCTGGGCAGAACTTCTGTTTTGCAGCAGACTGCCTTGTCTCTGGAATGGATACATGGTGTTTGTGTGTTGGTTTGCAACCTGAGCCAGCACTACAGGAAGAGGCACTCAGCTGCAAAGGGAAGTTCTCCCCCAGCATGAGAAGACATGAGGATTTAAAGGGAAGAGCAGCAAAGAGAAGGGAAACAACCATGGATTACAGAAGGCACACATTACAGTATTGGTTTATGTTAAACAATCTGAGGGTTTAATGTCACTTTAAGTTATTTTGGCTACTGTCACAGTTCCTCCATACATGAGTCATACATGATCACAGTTTGAGCAATGTACTTCCTGGAAGTAACAGGGAACCGTCAGCCA